GGTGCGAGGAAATTTACCAGGACTAAAGGCATATCATCTGACATAACGAAACTCAATTATCTGTCACTTACTCAACAGAGGTCGCCGACAATTCTGGTAGTAGTTGTATGTTTTGAGTGTTGAAGACCTTTCCTAATTCATCGGCTACAAACTGCAGCAATACATGTGACGGTCCTGCTGTCGCATGATTTATCAGGGCCCTTCAGGTGCCTAATTCCTAATCGGTTGTGCGTAGAACGTAAAAAAAATTCGGTCACCTGACGAAGGCGTTCAAGCTGATAAGAGGTGAGCGAGAGACAGTTCTCTTGCTTCCCTGGGAAAAACTGTACTGGACAGCCACTACATCTTATTGTGTTTGTCGGAAGCAAGTGCTCTCAGTTTACTAGCTTCCTTGGATCTCTCGACTTTCGTTGTTATAGCTGACCGTTTGCCACATATGTAGCACACCCACTCGTACCTCAAAGCGGCGCTGGGGCTTTGTTCACTCGCCACAAGCACATATGTCACAGAGATGTCCGTCATTTATTTGCTTACTGCCTTCTCAAATTCTGTGACGGGTGAAAACCGGATAGACCTTAATTTGTCATCAAACATAACTGAAGTTGATTCTTAAGCCGCAGTTCCTCGAGTTTAAAACCGAATGGGCGCCATTCCTTAAGCAGGGAGAGTAAGGAGAACAAACGTATTAAAATGAAGGTAGCAAAGGAGGATTTGAATATACAGAAAACAAAATGCAGGATTTCTGCGTGAAAATTGTCATTCCACCTGCAAAAGATTTCGAGATAAAAGGATTTATCGGCCAAGGTCAAACCAGAGTGCACACATTTATTAGGCAGCAGTTTTTCTAATTTTCGGGTATTTAGTCAACTGTGATCCACACTATATCAACCACCCAATACAAAGCACTTAGGTGCTTTTTGTGAGTCCTTGCGATGATGAATGACAAGGGAGCTCGGTATTGGCACAATGAAATTGGACTTTCGAAAGCTACGACGCCTTCCTGATGGACTAAACCAGGCGAGCAAATGAGCTCAGAGTATCCGTCTAAATTTTTGAGCCCAATCTAAGCACCCCGGGGTCCCGGCGATGCTGGGAAAGTATTCTACCAAATGTATCATTGGTTCAGTGGATATTGAAATTTGGTGATCTGCAAAAATGTCAACATAGATTATGATGGTTTTTTGTTTGGGCACATAGGCAAAAAAATACCCCAAGCCATGGACAAAGGACTCATATCGGATGCCATATTTTTCGACTACTCAAAAGCATTTGATGGGATCTCACACGTCCCGCTGCTCCACAAACTCGAGTCTTACGGGATTCAAGGGAAAATCATTCACTGGATCAAGGCGTTCCTATCAGGCAGATCATTCCGAGTGAGAATAGGCTCCATCTACTCTTCCCCGGCGACGGTCTTCATTGGAGTTCCTCAAGGCTCCGTCCTCGGACTACCGCTGTTTCCGATCTACGTCAACGGCCTTCCACATGTTCTTGCCAGTCCATTTCTACTTTTTGCGGACCACTTGAAATCCTGGAGTTCCAATGCCAGTGCCTTCAAAATGGATGTAGACGCTGCAAAGCAGTAGTCGTTGGATTGTCACCTTCCTCTGAATGACAAAAAGTGCATAAATATGTCGTATGAAGGAGACTCAGCGAATGCCTTCGTTATACATGGTGAGAAAGAGAAAAAAAACATCATGAGGATAGATGCCAAAAAGGATTTGGGCGACTAGGCCATTCTACGGATGATCCGTATTACTCGCATGTACTTCCACATACTTTATTGGCCACGTGAGACCACTTCTGGAACACGCCAACTAAGTTGTCTACTCCAGACCACGAAAGACCTCACCCTAATTGAGCATGTCCAGCGAGCCGCCACGAGAATGGTTGCCGGCCTCAAATCCGTGGACTACGAAACCCGTCTCGCGATGCTTGATCTCTTTCCCCTGGAGTACCGTCGCCTCTGAGGTGACCTGTTTGATTAAAGCTTGGCAGGCAGATTTTTCACCGATGACCCACCAAACACCCGGCGGGGATATAGTAAGAAAATTTTCAAGCACACAGCGCACACATTCATTTGACAAACTATCTTCTAATTTCGGGTAGTCGCTGCCTGGTATAACCTTCCTCCGACGGTTGTTCACGTTCCTTTCAGAACTCAGTTGGAGGCATTATTGGACATTTATGCGAATCCTCGCGCTGGCAAGTATACTGCCCCGCCCTGAGAACATAAAGGACAAAGCGACATCCTTTTTATCACCTTATTTCACCCTTTTTTCACTTATGCCTTTCAGGTGAACGACAGCCACTGACCGAAAAGATAAAAACTGATCCGGCAAAAGCTTCGATCCTGTGTATCAATACGTGAGTCAGTGATTATGGTGCTAACAGTTTTATTCCATCCCCAAAATTTTTGCATATAGTTGCATTGTGCGGCTAATGGGTGGTTGAACAAAGCTTGGCAAACACGGTTTCCACCGTTGACCCAGCAAACACCCGGCGAGGACATAGTGAGTAAATTTTCAGGCTCAGAGCACAAATTCATCAGACAAAATTTTCTCTCATTTCAAGTAGTAGGTGGTATGTATAACCTTCCTCCGACGGTTGTTCACGTTCCTTTCAGAACTCAGTTGGAGGCATTATTGGACATTTATGCGAATCCTCGCGCTGGCAAGTATACTGCCCCGCCCTGAGAACATAAAGGACAAAGCGACATCCTTTTTATCACCTTATTTCACCCTTTTTTCACTTATGCCTTTCAGGTGAACGACAGCCACTGACCGAAAAGATAAAAACTGATCCGGCAAAAGCTTCGATCCTGTGTATCAATACGTGAGTCAGTGATTATGGTGCTAACAGTTTTATTCCATCCCCAAAATTTTTGCATATAGTTGCATTGTGCGGCTAATGGGTCCCCTCAAAGCAGTGCTGCACCCATTTTTGTTTGGGGACTTCAGGCAAACGGGAGCCACTAAACGACAGTAAAATAACTGACCTGAAAAGCTTCGACGAAAGCCTCAATCATGCGTGTCATTCCGTGCTTGAACTTATTACATCATTTGTTATACTGTGTGCATGATGACCTTGGTTGTCAAGGTGCGGAAAATAAAAATGTTACCTTGTGAGGGCAAGAAGCAGCGTCAGTATTCGCACAATGGAACCGAATTTTCGAAATTCATGGTGTGTCCTTGACGAACTAAAGCAATCGGACTATTGAGTTGAGAGTACCAGTCCAAACCTTCAATCCCCATTTAGGGCTCCCTAGGTCTCAGCGATGCTGGGAAATTATACCACGAGACTTCAGCGAGAGGCATGGTTGCCCCAGTGGACAATGAAATTTGGTAAGCTACAAAAATGTGAACGTAGATTAAGACGGTTTTGGTTTGAGCACATACGGTACAAAATGTAACGTTTTGGCGCGGAAAGTTTTACTTTACTTTCAAGCATCTGGGCATCTGGGTCTCCTCAAACTTGTCCTTCTCACTAAACCATGAGAATTCGGCCCAAAAGGCATTCGCCATTTTACGGATGATCCGACGCACCTTCTCCCGTATTACCCGCATGGACTTCCAAATACTCTATGGGGCCTACTTCAGACCGCTCCTGGAGTACGCCAACCAAGTTGTCTACTCAGGGCGTACAAAAGACGTTACCCTCATTGAGCGTTCCCAGCGGGCCGCCACGAGAATGGTTGCCGGCCTCAAATCCGTGGACTACGAAACCCGTCTCGCGATGCTTGATCTCTTTCCCCTGGAGTACCGTCGCCTCTGAGGTGACCTGTTTGATTAAAGCTTGGCAGGCAGATTTTTCACCGATGACCCACCAAACACCCGGCGGGGATATAGTAAGAAAATTTTCAAGCACACAGCGCACACATTCATTTGACAAACTATCTTCTAATTTCGGGTAGTCGCTGCCTGGTATAACCTTCCTCTGACGGTTGTTCACGTTCCTTTCAGAACTCAGTTGGAGGCATTATTGGACATTTATGCGAATCCTCGCGCTGGCAAGTATACTGCCCCGCCCTGAGAACATAAAGGACAAAGCGACATCCTTTTTATCACCTTATTTCACCCTTTTTTCACTTATGCCTTTCAGGTGAACGACAGCCACTGACCGAAAAGATAAAAACTGATCCGGCAAAAGCTTCGATCCTGTGTATCAATACGTGAGTCAGTGATTATGGTGCTAACAGTTTTATTCCATCCCCAAAATTTTTGCATATAGTTGCATTGTGCGGCTAATGGGTCCCCTCAAAGCAGTGCTGCACCCATTTTTGTTTGGGGACTTCAGGCAAACGGGAGCCACTAAACGACAGTAAAATAACTGACCTGAAAAGCTTCGACGAAAGCCTCAATCATGCGTGTCATTCCGTGCTTGAACTTATTACATCATTTGTTATACTGTGTGCATGATGACCTTGGTTGTCAAGGTGCGGAAAATAAAAATGTTACCTTGTGAGGGCAAGAAGCAGCGTCAGTATTCGCACAATGGAACCGAATTTTCGAAATTCATGGTGTGTCCTTGACGAACTAAAGCAATCGGACTATTGAGTTGAGAGTACCAGTCCAAACCTTCAATCCCCATTTAGGGCTCCCTAGGTCTCAGCGATGCTGGGAAATTATACCACGAGACTTCAGCGAGAGGCATGGTTGCCCCAGTGGACAATGAAATTTGGTAAGCTACAAAAATGTGAACGTAGATTAAGACGGTTTTGGTTTGAGCACATACGGTACAAAATGTAACGTTTTGGCGCGGAAAGTTTTACTTTACTTTCAAGCATCTGGGCATCTGGGTCTCCTCAAACTTGTCCTTCTCACTAAACCATGAGAATTCGGCCCAAAAGGCATTCGCCATTTTACGGATGATCCGACGCACCTTCTCCCGTATTACCCGCATGAA